CCCAGCTCTCTGCAGGTCATTCACTAGGTCCCCCCGTGTGGTTCTGGGATTTTTGCTCACCGTTCTTGTGATCATTTTGACCCCACAGGGTGAGATCTTGCGTGGAGCCCCAGATCGAGGGAGATTATCAGTGTTCTTGTATGTCTTCCATTTCCTAATAATTGCTCCCACAGTTGATTTCTTCAAACCAAGCTGCTTACCTATTGCAGATTCAGTCTTCCCAGCCTGGTGCAGGTCTACAATTTTGTTTCTGGTGTCCTTTGACAGCTCTTTGGTCTTGGCCATACTGGAGTTTGGAGTGTGACTGTTTGAGGTTGTGGACAGGTGTCTTTTATACTGATAACAAGTTCAAACAGGTGCCATTAATACAGGTAATGAGTGGAGGACAGAGGAGAATCTTAAAGAATAAGTTACAGGTCTGTGAGAGCCAGAAATCTTGCTTGTTTGTAGGTGACCAAATACTTATTTTCCACCATAATTAAAAAAATGAATACATAAAAAATCCTACAATGTGATTTTCTGGAAAAAAAATTCTCAAATTGTCTGTCATAGTTGACGTGTACCTATGATGAAAATTACAGGCCTCTCTCATCTTTTTAAGTGGGAGAACTTGCACAATTGGTGGCTGACTAAATACTTTCTTTCCCCACTGTATATCCTTTCATCAAAGGATCCCGGGAGGAGGTCCCACTTTCTATGTGACAACTCACCAGTCTCTGACACGTTTGATTGTTTGCGTATGTAGGTGAGTTCACAATCTGTTATCACCACACAACCATCATATGTCAGCACGGGCCTGGTTTTGGCTCCTAAAATCCTCTTACTGCAACAAAGAGGAGAGATTAGTCATGGTCTCTTTAGTTGTGACATTCTCTGTGTGGGAGCAGGAGCTAAGATGCCCTACCCTGTATCCTATGTTATTAGTCCTAGAAAAACAATAATAAGAATCCCCTGAGACTTCAAACGGAGGCAACCTAGGTCGGGGTGACTTTGTTATCGGGGGGATACAGATAGTGCAAGTTACTACAAGACTTCTTCACCACATTCCCAGGCGGCTTGAACAATTTAATCATGGAGGATAAACCTGACAGAGAGTTAAAGCCTGTCAAGGGGAACGGAGTAATTGTTAACCTTGGTTTGGCTGTCCCACAGGCATAACAGTCCTCTTTAGACATAGTTCTTGCCGTATACTGAATCCATTCCAACCACAGGTTAAGATCTCTATACCCCGTCTCCACCTGTACTACTTCCTTCAGGTCTATAGTTTGCACTATCTTCTCCACAGCCCCGGTCTCACTACCTCCCTCAGAGAGGTTTACTCTATAGGGTGCCCCAGTTGAAGAGGATATCTCACTTGTCAGGTCTGTAACCTGTTTTAGCGTAATTCAGACTTTCAGACAGTACCTACCCTTATATTGGTCGCACTGCCATTTCTGGTAATTCCCTACTTTCACAATACTACACCTGTCCTTAAACTGTGTATGGAGATTGACATATCTCCCCCCCCCCCCCCCCCCCCCCCCACACACTTGGTATGAGCAACTACATAGTCCCAGGATGTACATGGTGACATACATATGGTGATGTCCTTCCCTACAGTCCCTAGTACTTCCCCTTTCCCTACATCTAGCTGTCTCCTATGCCTTCGTAGACTGTGCTCAGGTATTATTTTATCAACTTGTGTTAGGTTAACTACTACTTCTGGCGGATCAGGAGGGTTTGAGTGTGTTAGGAATATGGCCCCCACAATCAGACAGCTACCTACCGTCGGGAGACCTGTGAATCCCCACCCTTGCCCTGAGAACATGTCAGACGCCGGAGGCCAACCCATTGCTTTACCTTCTATCGAACTCACACAGGGATGATCAGACAGGGTAAGGGAATCTTCGTTAAGGAGCCAACCCCCGAGCCCTAGTGGTGATCGGTTCTTTCTCCTAACTCTGTGTAAGTTCGTCAGGTGTAGCTGGGTTTACCTTTTTGCAGTGTGTGACATGCACCCAGGTGCATCTCTCAGCTATTCCAATGGCAAGGCCCGTACCATAGGACTGGTAGGGCCCTTCCCAACAGCCTCTTTTATTTTTCTTCTTAGGACGGATCTCACCAGTCTCCTGGTTATAAGTGGGTCCCTTCTCCTTTAGTTCACTGTGGGCACAAAACCTCTGACCAAAACGGGTGTGGTTAAAACTATCTTCACACATACCTGTTCAGCTTCATTTCTATTCTGTGGTTTTTTAAGTATTTTGTCCTCTCCTTCGTATATTTATTATTTAATCCTACATCCCCCTTTTGACACATATTGCCATTGTCAAAATTACGACCTACCTAAACATCACAGTCGGTCACATGGTGCCAATTTAACAATATCTGGTATTAGGAACAAAAGAGGTCAATACACGTCTTCTAAAATAGACTAGTATTTTAATTAATGCAAACCACTTCAATGGTAAATATGATGTTCGTATATACGGGTCCACTGAAATACCACGCAGGGCACTCAGAGAACTAAGCCATTGTTCTGAGTTCTTCTTAAAATACTCTGACAGAGATAGTTCCCGCTCCCTGCTGGCCAATCAAAGTAGAGACTGAGCGTGGTTTAGACTTACTCAGCCAATCGTTGGTGCACAGGCTGGTCCCAGTCCCTTGGCGCTTCACTGTTGTCAGGCATAAGTTTGTTATCATCACAACCTGTAGTCATCACCCATAGACACTGTTCCCCTGTACCTACGTCCTTGGACGGTTCACAGATCACAAAGAGGCAGTGTTCGTGTCTGTGAGAAATACAAGTCTTATCTCATCCTACCCCCTAACGTTCCTCACATGAATCACAGCTTGTTATGTGAAACAATTTATATCAGTACAGTACAAACCTTTTATGTTTAATCCTTAATGCATTCTTTCTAAGCTAGTCATCACATCTAGATCCCCACACTACCTAAATCTAGCTCAGCAAACCATGGCAAAGTTTAATTGCAATTATAAACCCAGATTTTAGTCAGTAGCCTATGTCTATTGAAATAACAAGTCAATCTCGCAAATAGGCCATTTATTATGGTTTGTAGTCTTAACATCTGGCACATAATGAAGGCACAACTGCCAGAAAAGAGCCTAACATTCGTTTTTTGAAGTTCGTCCAAGTGTTTCTTGCACAGAAATTGAGATCATCTGTCCAACTTTCATCACTCAAACTCTCCTGTTGGATTTATCTATAGTTATGCACATGCACAAACAGGATTTATATACAATTATAAACTGGGTGGTTTGAGCCCTGAATGCTGATTAGTTGAAAGCCATGGTATATCCGACTGTGTACCATGGGAATCACTTTTTACTATTCTAATTACATTGTTAACCAGTTTATAATAGCAATAAGGCTCCACAGGGGTTTGTGGTATATGGCCAATATACCACGGCTAAGGGCTAAGAACAGCCCTTAGCCATGGTATATTGCTGTATACCACACCTCCTAGGGCCTTATTGTTTAATCATAGCAGTAAAAACAAGTTAAATCGACATCCATTGATGGAAAATTATCTGGAGAGTTTAATAAGGGCGATTTATCTTTTCTCTTGCAACATATTCTTAAACTTGCAAGAATTATTATTTTGATGGAAAACCGAATTTTGCTTCTTAGCCTATGTCGTTAAAAATGAAGTAGATATTCCTCTTAATTCGCTCGATAACGTTATGGAAAAAGGGTTTCATTAATACATGTGGAAATTCCTCACTTGCGACAAAACCTTTTGGGGGATCGTTTTCAGGCCTTGTGGGCTGGTTTTCAGAGTTTATTGGGCTATAATATTAACTTGACCTGGCAACACTGCTTCCCGGTGCTAGCAGTGTTGAAGTGGCATGAAAATAGTGTTTCTCAATTGCACGTAGGTTTCGCTATGACGCTAGTCACAATGTAGTGATCTATAAAATTATGTTGCCGTCGCATACAACTCATTGATTGAGTAAAATGTTGTCTGAAATGCGTTCTCGTTTTGGACTCTGTCAAGTCATCAGACAAGGTAAACTATTTCTTCCCCCTGTGATTATTCCCCACTTTATTTTCGATTGGAAACGTTCTGCCACTCCTCCCAGTCACTGCTGTGGATTAAAGAGAAGGCTCATAAGAAGAGAAATCAACACATCTATAGTTAGGGGGCCAGGAGTTTTTCCTGATCATGTGACCTGAGACACTGATACAGACATTGATGAACCTAGGCCTGTGGGTCTATCAAACAACAATGAAGAACCCATATAGTACATTGTCATCTGAGTGACAATAAGCAATATATTATATGTAACTAAGTAAGTGCTTAATCTTTTGTGTGTATGTAGCATGGTCTGAGCTGTCACCTCCACGAAACGTGAGTGTTGACTGTGCATTGGAAACCCCTCCACAGACGTGAGTGAGTAGGCCAGTACCTTGTAGTTGTCTGCTGCTGTAGTATATGGGTTCTTCATTGTTGTTTGATAGACCCACAGGCCTATGGTCATCGGTGCCTGTATCAGTGTCTCAGGTCACATGATCAGGAAAAACTCCTGGCCCCCTAAATATAGATGTGTTGATTTCTCTTCTTATGAGCCTTCTCTTTAATCCACAGCAGTGACAGGGAGGAGTGGCAGAATGTTCCGGGATGTGTTCAGACTGAGCACACCACCTGTAATACACAGTCCTTGCTAAGATGTGTGATGGTGCATGTCTGGGTTCAGGAAGGGAACTGCACCTCTGGAGCTGTCCAAGCCTGTTGCCATGGTAACAGATCAGTTCACTTTACTCCTGATAAACTTGATACAATTGGAGCTGACCTGCTTTATTTCATGTCCAAGGCTTACTCTGCTACATCAGTAGGCCAGCACACTGGAATAATTGTTTTTTGGTTAGAAAGCTTGACCAACTGTATTTAAAATCACATTTTCACCACCCCTCTCTCTCTGGCCCACCCATCTGATTCCTGCAGCCCTGTAGTCCAGATAAAACCCCAGGCAGGGGGGGTACTGTGTACAGGTCTACTATGTCTGTTACCACAACCCCTTTGGAACCCCTAGCCCCCTACAGTGTGTCCATCCCAGAGTCAGGTGAGGCTCAACCAGTTTTTCTTTGTACGAGTTGACTTGCTGTTACCATAATCTTATCCTCTAATGTTAACACTTCACCTAGTAACTAATCATGCCACCTTTCTTTCTCTCTCTCCCTCTTGTGCTTTCTTTATCTTCCTGTACAGAAAGGACAAGGCATACCAGGATTGTGGCGATCCGTGTGACCCTTACCATCCTGTTGGGTGTCTTGGTAATGGGCCTTGCGTTCATCTACAGGCACCATGAGAAAATTAAACAGTTCCTTCAACATCCACTATGGCTACCAGACCACTATCGTGAGGTACGTCTGTCCTGTGAAACACCTATTATTTAGTGTGAGACACCTATTAATGGGACTCCCCTGCTTAAATAAAATAAGTTGCCTTGTCCGAGCCAGAATGGCCCATAGGGCAGGAGCCAATCTCCTGTTTCTGTAGTGTGAGGCAGCTTGATGTACAGTGCCTTGCAAAAGTATTCATCCCACTTGGCTTTTTTCCTATTTTGTTGCATTACAACCTGTCATTTAAATTGAAATAAGCAAACACGTTTGGTGTTCGCCAAAAGCCTTGTGGGAGCCTCCCCAAACATATGGAAGAAGGTACTCTGGTCAGATGAGATAAAAATTGAGCTTTTTGGCCATCAAGGAAAACACTGTCTGGCGCAAACCCAACACCTCTCATCACCCCGAGAACACCATCCCCACAGTGAAGCATGGTGGTGGCAGCATCATGCTGTGGGGATGTTTTTCATTGGCAGGGACTGGGAAACTGGTCAGAATTGAAGAAATGATGGATGGTGCTAAATATAGGGAAATTCTTGAGGGAAACCTGTTTGTCTTCCAGAGATTTGAGACTGAGACAGAGGTTTACCTTCCAGCACGACAATGACCCTAAGCATACTGCTAAATTAACACTCGAGTGGTTTAAGGGGAAACATTTAAATGTCTTGGAAGGGCCTAGTCAAAGCCCAGACCTCAATCCAATTGAAAATCTGTGGTATGACTTAAAGATTGCTGTACACCAGAGGAACCCATCCAACTTGAAGGAGCTGAAGCAGTTTTGCCTTGAAGAATGGTCAAAAATCCCAGTGGCTAGATGTGCCAAGCTTATAGAGACATACCCCAAGAGACTTGCAGCTGTAATTGCTGCAAAAGGTGTCTCTACAAAGTATTGACTTTGGGGGGGTGAATAATTATGCACGCTCAAGTTCTGTTTTTTTGTCTTATTTCTTGTTTGTTTCACACACACACAAAAAAGTGCATCTTCAAAGTGGTAGGCATGTTGTGTAAATCAAATGATACAAACCCCCCCCAAATCCATTTTAATTCCAGGTTGTAAGGCAACAAAATAGGAAAAATGCCAAGGGGGGGTGAATACTTTCGCAAGCCACTGTACAAGTAGCCTACATCCCCAGGGCAAAATGCAACAACTTTCATGATTGGTTAATTTTCCAGTACCCATAAGGTTACTTCCCCCAGCAGGCCCTGTCCATCACAAGAACAACCAGTCCCTGTGAAGAACACCATGATCTCATCTCCATCGTCTTCTGTGAAGAGGACCAGTCTGACTGCTATCTGAGTCCTGAGTCTGACAGAGAACAGGACTAACTCACCTACTGAACTGGAGTCATCCTCTGGCACTTTTAGATCATTACAAATGATCCATTGACACTCACTGGCATTTTAGGTTAACTTGATAGCGTCAGGAGATTAACTGTGGTAGGCCTATCTGAGTGTTTACACTCCGATGCCCTTGCTTGCATCAGCTACAAACATTGTGTTTGATCAAAAGAAAACTATTTTACAAGAATATAGTAGACTTCTCTAGGCATGTTATAGTATGCTCTGCTGCAGAGGACAGAGAAAGATGCGTATGGCTCACTAATTAGACCTACCCAGTAATGATTAGTTGGAAAATAGTATGTGCTATTAGGTCGTCCAGCTTAAAATAGAACCACTGTTTTCATTTCTTTCTCTCCAAAAAGTCCATTGCCAAGTGTCCTTGGGCCAGGACTTTAATTTAGTCTTTTGTTTGTAAAATTTCTGCTGTTTAGTAATGGGTTTACTATGTTCAACTGCGTATTACAAATATGTACATATCACACTATTTCTTCAGTTTTTTTACTGAACATATTAGAAAATAATTAGTAGCAAGGTTAAGGCACATAGTAATACTTCACACTAATCAATGAAATTACTGTTTGAGGTATACATGGTCAAAGTTGGCTCGGGCTATATTCAAAGTTGAAAACAAACATGGGTCTCAAGAACTTGTCCCATCTATGCTTGCACTTTATACTAAAATTGAACTCTGGCATTATACTGATTGAACTTTACTTTTTTTGACCATTCATTGTATTTCTTTCAATTCCTTTGTTACTTTACGCTAAAACTTTTCAAGTCAAGGTGAAATTGAAAAAAGTGTGTTACATTGACTTTTGTTTTTGACTGTAAAAATGAATATGCTGCGTTTATCTGAACGTGCAGAGGCTTTGACCCACAAATTATTTGATACTGGGTTTAAATAAATGAACACAGCCATTTCTCTTCCTGATTTTAGCATGAACAAGCAATGTAGACTAGAATAACTCCCAACCACATTCATCAACATACATACTCTTCCAAGAGGCAATTCAACATAATATGAAACATCCAAACTTTACATTTAAAATGTTTTTATTGAAGCAGATTACATTACCATTTATTCCACGTCTGTCATTAAATTTGAACAAAGGAAGTCAATGATCAAGGACAGAGAACTACTACAAAACGCTTGACGAATCAGCACCCTGTAACACCTCCCCTTTCCCTTCATTTTCACAAATTGAAAGTGGTTATTTTGGGGGGTATAATAGGTGCACCTATATAACCCATTGAAACACTTCATAATGACCTTTCATCACTGGTCGTAGCTCACTCACATCCAGATCTACAGATTCATGTCATGAGCATTGGATGCTTAGCAGACCACATGAAAAAATTCAGATAAGTCAAAAGTAATCTGTGTTTACTACTCTTGGAAGTCAAGAACCAATCAATCATGCTCCATCTGTCAATTCTACTTAAAAATAATTTTTCATTAGGATTTCACACCCAGATTTCATTCTGTTCATTTTAGCTACTTTGGGGACTGATTTTTCTTTAGATCAACTTCCTCCAGCTAGATTGATTAATTTCAGCCTGTATCTGGTCAACTACTCACCACCAGACAAAAACATCCATCTCCAGCTACTGATCTCCAGTTTACAGACCGCGATCAGCCATATCCATCCACCTCTAGCTCAACACTGACCCATGCCAAATCCTTATATAATGCCTTCCAAATGTGTTCCCTTTCTAAAAAATACATAGCTAGCACAGCCCTGGTGCTTCAGATTGACCATATATATATTTTTTAACAGGTGAGGGTGAGAACCAGGGCAGTCTGACTCACATGGCTGCTAAATGGAACAGCTATCACACAAAAGGGATGAGGTAGTCGATAGTAACACTACGAAAAGGAGCCACCTGTCTACTACCATACATAGTTCATGCTTGACCCTTCTCTTCAGCTATTGGCTTGAATATTGGCGTAAATGGTTAAAACGGAGCTGATACGTCCCAGCATGCTTTGGGCTGGCTGTTGCAAAGTGCTAATGAGCATGTGACTATGCATGTGACTATGACATCATGCACATACCCTTCTTTATCTACTTAAGCATGTTTAAGATGCAGGATAGGCAGCTATAGCACAATATGTGGGGTAGTATAGTAGTATCCATAATCGTATGGGATTCAGATGCAGGATCTCACTGTACCTAAACTAGTGGTATTTTGGATGAGAACTCGATTTGTAGACTACAGAAACACGACCGTTACAACCTTTACAAGATTACCTGTGTTCATATAAAGATACTTTGTTACTTTCTGATAGGAACAACGATAGAAAAATGCTTCAGACCTCTAAAAAACAAGACTGCAAAAATGACGAATCCTGAGACAGAACGACAGTTACCCCATTTAAAACAGGAACTGATCGTAGTATGAAGCAGACATATTTCACATAAATGCTTTGCTTAAAATATATATGGCTTCCCATAAACGCTTTGATATAATCCAGTGCATGTGATAAAGGTGATAGATGATAACTGCTTGCTAAAATATCATTTATAGCAGATAAATCAGAAAGCTTTGTTTCCAGTGATAACATGTGCTTTTATAAGAGGTCTTCACAGATCCACCTGTACCCGAATACCAGACACCCGAGATCCGGGACCATCCAGAATTCTAAATGTCACGGGTCTTATTCAGATCTGATATGATGGTCACGGGTATGTGTAATTTTAAGTGACTTGACCGGTGGGACCCGTCCCGATCCGAACGCGACTGCTGCAGGAGAGCGAGAGAGAGAGAGAGAAATTGTATCATTTATGCTGCTGCTCTTGCTTTTCACGAGATTGGCGTGTGTAGCTTGTTGTTGGCCAATCATAAGTCATCAATGCAGCAATAGACTACAGTCATAGAGCATCCGTGTGGCAAAAGTTAGGAGATATCTAATCAATGGAAGATGGAATTTAAATGACGGAATTAAAAGTTAAAGGTGAAGGATAGCTACAACGACCTAGAATCAACAGGTAGGCTGCTACTTAATATCCTTAATGGAGTTGTCGTTTGTAACTGTTCAGGACGAGAAAGCGCATGCAGCCCCAATTAGCCTAGCTAGCTAGATAGCTTGCTTAACTAGTTTCTCCCGGTTTGATGCAGTCAAGACAGGTACTACGTAATCATATTGGATGATAAATAACCTAGATATGGCAGCTATTGGTCTACTATAGCGCGAGTCGGCTTGGTTGGTTGCGGTCTGTTGTTTCTCCCTCACTCCTCCACCTTGTCACTCACAGTAGCCACACACACAGCACGCACACAGCCCTGCTAGAGTGGCACCTCTCTCTACCTCCTCTCCCTCACGCTTTATCAGCTCCAGTTAATAAAGTAGCCTTTTCTGCTGCTTCCCTCACTCGGATCGGACCGGGTCTAGATCCGACCAGGTCTATACGGAACGGGTCTCTATATAAAAAAAAAAGTATTTATGCATATCGGGTCCGGGTAGAAAAGCCCCAGGTCCATTTCGGAACAGGTCCAACATTTTGGACTCGTGAAGGCCTCTAGCGCTTATCATTCAATTCACACACAATACATGTATTTACATAAATAAACAATCTTCTGGAGATGGTGAATCACTTGAGGGCAAAACAATAATACGTCAGAGGTGCTCTGGAATATGGCGAGGGGGGGGATAAATATGAAACAAATGTTATGATTATATTTGACAAAGTGTGAATTTTCCCCCGTCTCCTAACATACAGTGTTACGACACTGTAAGATTGTTGGGACACTATATACACATAATGTGGATGAAATGTCACTGTCAACACTTTGTTCCCCCCCAAAAAAATTTGAATGTTGTAGGACTAACACTTAAAAGACATTTAGACATAATGCATATAATGCATTTAAATAGTCACACATTACAAATATGTTAAAAGGAAATCATTTTAGAAGGAAATGTGTGGGATTAAATTTAGTCAAAGGTATAAATATAATGTACAGTATGTGAATATGGCTGAATTTCAGGGCCCAGATATGGAAGAGTACCTCTAAGGAATGCCAATCTAAGACATTATCATTCCTCTAATCAAGACTACATGAAAGATAAGCAGAGAAAAACACAGTACATTACTCCAATGTCCATAGGTAGGCGTATAATGGTAATACATATGCTACCATATTGAACATTGTAGATGAGAGCTGAGTGGTATTAGTCGGTTGGCCTTGACTCTGGTAAAAACAAGGGTAGTACCCCAGCAAGTGTGTGTGTGTGTGTGTTGGGGAGATGGGGTTAGGGATGTACTATGCAGAGCGCTCTAAGCCCACAAATCCTCAGTTCGTCCAAACTTGTAGATCAGTGTGCTATAAAAAAACAAAATAAAAAGAGAGCAACACATAAGATTTTCGCATTGTACTTTCACAAAATGTCCATAATATATCTGCAGTAATTGTGGAATGATAGATTTGGACAATCATTTTTCACTGTGGTCCTCTGTAGCTCAGTTGGTAGAGCATGGCTCTTGCAACGCCAGGATAGTGGGTTTGATTCCCAGGACCACTCATATGTACAAAAATGTATGCACACATGACTAAAAGTCGCTTTAGATAAAAGCGTCTGCTAAATGGCATACAGTGCCTTCAGAAAGTATTCAGACCCCTTCACCTTTTCCACATTTTGTTACTTTACAGCCTTATTCTAAAATTGATTAAATCGTTTTTTTCACTCATCAATCTACACACAATACCCCATATTTGTAAGTCGCTCTGGATAAGAGCGTCTGCTAAATGACGTAAATGTAAATGACAAAGCAAAAACAGGTTTTTAGACATTTTTGCAAATGTTAAAAAAATTACAAACTGAAATATTACATTTACATAAGTATTCAGACCCTTTACTCAGTACTTTGTTGAAGCACCTTTGGCAGCGACTACAGCATTGAGTCTTCTTGGGTAAGACGCTACAAGCTTCGCACACCTGTATTTGGGGAGTTTCTCCCATTCTCCTCTGCAGATCCTCTCAAGCTCTGTCAGGTTGGATGGGGAGCGTTGCTGCATAGCTATTTTCAGGTCTCTCCAGAGATGTTCGATCGGGTTCAAGTCCGGGCTCTGGCTGGGCCACTCAAGCACATTCAGAGACTTGTCCCAAAGCTACTCCTGCGTTGTCTTGGGTGTGTGCTTAGGGTTGTTGTCCTATTGGAAGGTGAACCTTCGCCCCAGTCTGAGGTCCTGAGTGCTCTGGAGCAGGTTTTCATCAAGGATCTCTCTGTTCTTTGCTCCGTTCATCTTTCTCTCGATCCTGACTAGTCTCCCAGTCCCTGCTGCTGAAAAACATCCCCACAGCATGACGCTGCCACCACCATGCTTCACCATAGGGATGGTGCTAGGTTTCTTCCAGACGTGACACTTGGCATTCAGGCCAAAGAGTTCAATCTTGGTTTCATCAGACCAGAGAATCTTGTTTCTCATGGTCTGTGAGTCTTTAGGTGCCATTTGGCAAGCTCCAAGCGGGCTGTCATGTGCCTTCTACTAAGGAATGGATTCCGTCTGGCCACTCTACCATAAAGGCCTGATTGGTGGAGTGCGGCAGGTAGCTTAGTGGTTAAGAGCGTTGTGCCAGTAACCGAAAGGTCGCTGGTTCTAATCCCCGAGCCGACTAGGTGAAAAATCTGTCGAACCCTAATTGCTCCTGTAAGTCGCTCTGGATAAGAGCGTCTGCTAAATGACCAATTATTATTATTATTATTATTATTATTATTATTATTATTATTATTATTAATTATTATGGTTGTCCTTCTGGAAGTTTCTCCCATCTCCACAGAGGAACTCTAGAGCTAAGTCAAAGTCTGGTACCCTTCCCCAGATCTGTGCCTCGACACAATCCTGTCTCGGAGCTCTACAGACAATTCCTTCGACCTCATGGCTTGGTTTTTGCTCTGACATGCACTGTCAACCTTATATAGACAGGTGTGTGCCTTTCCAAATCATGTCCAATCAATTGAATTTACCACAGGTGGACTCCAATAAAGTTGTAGAAACATTTCAAGGATGATCAATGGAAACAGGATGCACCTGAGCTCAATTTCAAGTCTCATAGCAAAGGGTCTGAATACTTATAAGGTATCTGTTTTTTATTTTTAATACATTTGCAGAAATGTCAAAAAACCTGTTTTCGCTTTGTCTTTATGGGGTATTGTGTGTAGATTGTTGAGGATTTGTACATTTTTTATCCATTTTAGAATAAGGCTGTAATGTAACAAAATCAAAATTCCATCATGATGAAAGGGAGCTAGTTACTCTAATTTCCTGGTTTCTTCCTGTCTGACAATAGAGTGATACGTAACACCAGACAAGGTCCATCAAAAATACACTTTTATCATCATCATCATCATCATCATCATCATCTTTTGTGTACTTACCTGAAAAATATCAAAGCATTCTGAAAGAATACTGCCAGTCCTGGATACACGTCTTTCTCTACAAAGAAAAAGGGGGGAGGGGGGAGAGAGAAAAAGGCCATTAGTATAAAAACACATCACAGCAGGAACTGGAACTTTATAAAAACGAAAGACGTGGGCAAAAAAGAAGAAGAGAGATGGACAGCATATAACAAAGACCATCAACTACTGAAACCCATTTCAACCCCAGGCTGATAGAAAAATACACATGGCTTACTGAAAAATATTATTTAGATTCTTCAAAAGACATAACCAGCAGATACCTTCCTAGTCAAACCATTTAAATCAAGAGCTGGGGAGGATCTCAGCCTCCTCCTACCTGACTAAAAGCAATATGGAATACAGAGGTAATGAGCTCCAAATATAAACTATACTACCATACTATCTGCATTAATGAGAGAGAGTGAAAGTTTTCTATTCTGTAGCCAGTCCCAACAAGATGAACAGGAGAGAAAATGAGGGGTTGTACTGTTCAGGTGTAAGACTGTGACCAGGAGTAATGACTCAAAAGGATGAAGTCAGGAAATATGGTGGCTGATGACGGTGGTTGCTAACGTGGAATACTGAGAGAGAAGAAGAAGTGGGGGACTGCAGAGCGCAAGGGAGAGACAGTAAAAGAGGAGCCAGTGTCAATGTGATTGAAACCAACCATCCGGAGTGAATGTGGGCAAATGGGTTTCAGCTCTATCTCACTATCTGTGGCAGAATGATGAGGTTGTGTTGTGTGTATCAGTGCATCAGATACAGGGGAAGACTCATCGCTACCAGCCATTACAGAGAGTAATGTGGCCAACAAACCAGTAATTACACCTCTCTGGACACACACCATTCAGGAAAAGGTAGAAAGGTCATTTCGGCTGGACTTTTATGGGCTTTGTAAAAGAAAGAAAACCCAGAAGAAAGAGCGGGAGAGAGAAAGCAACATGACTCACTCGGAACCACATATCCTCCAAACAGGATCCAGATGGAAGCGATGAGGGAGCCGAACATAATCATGAAACCGATGAACAGCCAAAGACGAGCTCCTGCAGAAACACACAAAGACAGCCGCAAGAAAAACCTCCACTCAACACGATAAATATACAACAGCCTCTTATCCCACAAGGAAAAGTAGTATCGGCTATCAGCCAAGTATCATCCCTAAAACGTGCACATAAACACACAGACAGTAACATTCTTGACATATATGCAGCCATAGATATGCATCTCAAGCCAAACCAACCTGTCCTTCCGAAGCAGCCCTCTCCATAGGCATCACCTCGCACCTGGCCATTAGACACTGCATTGATCCTGGAAAAACACACATAAACACACTGTGTGGGTGCTTGTACTAATACCTTGTCTCTCTGTGTGTGTGTGTGCGCGTTGTGCTCACATGAAGAAGGCTATAGTGGCGAAGACTCCACACGTGTGGAAGGCATGGTTCATCTCCTCCTGGGTTGGGTAGGACACCGCTGCATCTATCATGATCCACCAACCAGTGAAGAACTGAGAGAGAGAGAGGGGTACAACTAAATAATGTAGGTTTGCAGTATGCACTGTTCAGTTATTCAATTGAAGTCTAACAACTTAGGCTGTATCAATCAAAGTACAAAGAAAACAAATTAATTAACACTGCCTAAAAAATAAATCTACAAAGACAGAGAGAAACATTCTGTACTGTAGGCTTTGTCTTGAAGGGTTTGATGTTTCTCACTAAATGTTCAATTGAATAAAGTTGGCAATCATCCTGCCACAATGGCAGACAGCATTTTAATGAAAGCAGAACAGATATTATTTCAGTTTCTTCCTCATTCTTTATTCATGAGCTGCTGCCTGGGGCCAATGCTGCCTTGCTATGCCTAGACATATAGCATTATGTTAATATAACACACAGCTCTCAATGTGCTGTTCCATGGTTGACAGAGTTGTCTAATTACTAATTTATGTGTCTGTGTGCGAGTGTGTGTTTATGTGTGTTGTGTGTCTCCAAAAGTTCTCAATATTTCCCTATATTAATTTAGCAGCGGTGGGCCACCACGGCTAAATCGTTGCCGCCACTCCAAAAAATATGATTTACATTTATTTTAAATATTTCTGCCGAGAAGCACTTTTAAAAGGGATAGTGTGAGATTTTGGAAATTAAGCCCTTTTTCTATTTAACCAGATTCAAATGAATATCATGGATACCATTTTTGTGTGTCTGCATGCCGTTTTGAAGGAAGTTATTAACTAGTGTTAGCGCAATGATTGAAAGTCTATGGGAACAGCTAGCATGCAGTCATTGCACTAACACTAGTTAGCAATGGCTCGCTAAACTACCTTCAAACTGCACGCAGACATATAAGATTTGGTACACATGAGTTCATCTGACTGTGGGTAAGTAGAAAAAGTGCTTAATTGCCAAAATCTCGCACTATACCTTTAAGATCAGAGTGACAATTTATTTGTAGCAAACAGCGCGAGCAGTGGTGCGAATGAGAGCCACAAGTGTATAGCCACCTACGGTGCAGTGGCGCGCATCAGTTATATTTCAAATGGTGTCAAATTTTCATGCATTTTGAAGTAGAATGTCGCTGAAGCACGATGCAATATTTTCACGATACTTAGGTGCCGATATGATATGTAGTGCGATTCTCATGATTCTATATGTATTGCGATTCGATTGCGAGTTGATATTCCAAACATATTGCTCACTAATATATATATATATATATATATATATATATATATATATATATATATATATATATATATATATATATATATATATATATATACATACATACAGTGGGGAGAACAAGTATTTGATACACTGCCGAATTTGCAGGTTTTCCTACTTACAAAGCATGTAGAGGTCTGTAATTGTTATCATAGGTACACTTCAACTGTGAGAGACGGAATCTAAAATCCAGAAAATCACTTTGTATGATTTTTAAGTAATTAATTTGCATTTTATTGCATGACATAAGTATTTGATACATCAGAAAAGCAGAATTTAATATTTGGTACAGAAACCTTTGTTTGCCACTCCTTAGTTGCCCTGGCTGTGTGTTTCGGGTTGTTGTCATGCTGGAAGACCCAGCCATGACCCATCTTCAATGCTCTTACTGAGGGAAGGAGGTTGTTGGCCAAGATCTCGCGATACATGGCCCCATCCATCCTCCCCTCAATACGGTGCAGTCGTCCTGTCCCCTTTGCAGAAAAGCATCCCCAAAGAATTATGTTTCCACCTCCATGCTTCACGGTTGGGATGGTGTACTCATCCTTCTTCTTCCTCCAAACACGGCGAGTGGAGTTTAGACCAAAAAGCTCTATTTTTGTCTCATCAGACCACATGACCTTCTCCCATTCCTCCTCTGGATCATCCAGATGGTCATTGGCAAACTTCAGACGGGCCTGGACATGCGCTGGCTTGAGCAGGGGGACCTTGCGTGCGCTGCAGGATTTTAATCCATGACGGCGTAGTGTGTTACTAATGGTTTTCTTTGAGACTGTGGTCCCAGCTCTCTTCAGGTCATTGACCAGGTCCTGCCGTGTAGTTCTGGGCTGATCCCTCACCTTCCTCATGATCATTGATGCCCCACGAGGTGAGATCTTGCATGGAGCTCCAGACCGAGGGTGATTGACCGTCATCTTGAACTTCTTCCATTTTCTAATAATTGCGCCAACAGTTGTTGCCTTCTCACCATGCTGCTTGCCTATTGTCTTGTAGCCCATCCCAGCCTTGTGCAGGTCTACAATTTTATCCCTGATGTCCTTACACAGCTCTCTGGTCTTGGCCATTGTGGAGAGGTTGGAGTCTGTTTGATTGAGTGTGTGGACAGGTGTCTTTTATACAGGTAACGACTTCAAACAGGTGCAGTTAATACAGGTAATGAATGGAGAACAGGAGGGCTTCTTAAAGAAAAACTAACAGGTCTGTGAGAGCCGGAATTCTTACTGGTTGGTAGGTGATCAAATACTCATGTCATGCAATAAAATGCAAATTAATTACTTAAAAATCATACAATGTGATTTTCTGATTTTTAGATTCCGTCTCTCACAGTTGAAGTGTACCTATGATAGAAATTACAGACCTCTACATGCTTTGTAAGTAGGAAAACCTGCAAAATCGGCAGTGTATCAAATACTTTTTCTCCCCACTGTATAAATATATATACAAACACACACAGTGGGGAGAACAAGTATTTGATACACTGCCGATTTTGCAGGTTTTCCTACTTACAAACAAACAAAGGTTTATGTACCAAATATTAAGTTCTGCTTTTGTGATGTATCAAATACTTATGTCATACAATAAAATGCAAATTAATTACTTAAAAATCATACAATGTGATTTTCTGGATTCTCACAGTTGAAGTGTACCTATGATAAAAATTACAGACCTCTACATGCTTTGTAAGTAGGAAAACCTGCAAAATCAGTGTAGTGTATCAAATACTTGTTCTCCCCACTGTATATATATATATTATTTATTTATTTTACAAATTGATCCTTGAAGTAAAATATCAATATAATATTGTCTAAAAATAATATTGCGATATGTAACTGTAAAAAAAAAATTATCCATCACTAATATGTTTTCCTCCAATAGAAGGGAAAGCAGCAAATGAAATTGAGCCCATACTGAGAAAACGTTGAAAAATGGTCAACTTGCAATTGCCTGAAGGTGTTTTCGAATGAGTAACTCATTTCTGGCACTCTATGGGGTGAATTGTCCACCGCCAACAGAATGACAAAAGGCAGGAGAAAGAACAAAGCTGCATAGTCCATGCAGCAGGCCATTTCCTATACACTTCTGATAATTGAGATGAAAACAAGAACCAAGAGAACACTAGCTGTGTGATGACAGTGGGCTTTCAAAGTCACTCTCTCTCTCCAATCAATGTCACTTTGTTTTGATTGCTCTGTGACATGATTGTCACATCTTCTTTCACTGTTTGAGGCAGATTTCATCTCAAAAGCGTTGCCTGGCCGTGCTAGTTTATTTCTGTACTAGGGCGATTCCGTGTAAAAGATACATGAGCATACATCGATCTCCAATTCCATGAGCAGCAGCACTTAAGAAGAGCTCCTCCTTAAATATCTGTAATTTTATTATATGTGAAAAGCTTAGTTATTTCAGTGCACTGTGTTCTTCACATCTAGAGGAATCAGAAGATACTTTTCTTTTGTGGATATGGTTTGATTTGGAGATTGTTGGACTTGGTTCTGGTAAGGCTAATCTGCTGAATCATCATGCAAGACAAGGCAGGAATGGGTTTGGGGGACTATAAACCCAACAAGGACAACAAGAAGAATTAGGACAAAGATAAACACAAAACCATCAGAGGGAGAAAGAGGAAGGATTTCTCAAGGATAGTTCAGGCCTTGATAGTGAAACAAGCATTGAGAAGAACCAACGGGAGGTGGGAACATTCTGAACATTGAGAGAGTATCTTAATTTATGTGTAATGTGTTGTTTCATTGAAAAGCATATTTAATATATTTATTATTCATAAAAGTGCATTGTTTAAAACGTGAATGTATCTATAGGTGCAATATTTAAATATGTGCTTTCATCAAGAGGCACACACACAACAACTAACAACTTCAGAAAACAGAACTATGAGGTAATTGTACATTGATTCGACCCTGTGATGGTTCAAGGTTTGGAGGCCAGTCTGGATACATTTGTCCAGTACTTTAATCAAATTAAACCTCTTGTTGCTGAACTCAAAACCTCTCAACCAAAACTGCCTACAACAGCCTCCACTTCCTTTGTGTCCCAGGATGAAGTCCCCAGTGTCCCTCTCCTTCCCTCGCCTGAAGCAGACATAGCCCTCACCATGCCACTGTCACGTGACACCTGCAGTGTCACAGCATCTCAGAGAGGAGAAGATCAGCCTGGTGCGTCAGCATCTGGATGAAATCCGGGAATTGCAGTATGCTATCAGGTGCGTTGAGGAGGACAACCAGTCCCTCAGGTAGGAGTGGGCGATATACCGGTTTGATAGTAAAAACCGGTATTGTGCCGCGCCATGATATGGATTTAGCAATATCATGGATACCGCGATTTATTCAGAATTCATAAATTCGAATTTTGCATCAATATTTTTTTGTTCCAAATTTCAACTGAGTGATAGTACTAAGTAGCTACATCTTTTTTTTTTTTTTTTTATCCAACCTTTCTTGGTTCTTACGAATAAAAGAATGTATGTTAATATGTTGACCTATTTTTATGAGCGCACGTCGCATGCACTTGTTGCACGCATGTAGTGCTAGCAACAAAGAAGTGTGCAGGCAGCTGCAGTTAGGAGGCAGGTTAACTATTGGGGGAAAACTTTACAATCCAGGATGAGCGAAAACACAGAAATTGATGTTGCTCAAGAGCAGGAGGATAAATTGGTTAAGAAGAAAGGGGGCACCTCTGTTGTTTGGAACTGGTTTGGCTTTAAAATCTCCGACCCCGACCAAAACACTACCCTATGCAAGTTGTGTCGTCGTGTTGTCTTAGCAAAAGGTGGAAACACGACCAACCTGTTCAATCACTTAAAAAACATACATGTCCGTGAGTATGAACAATGCACCAGAATGCGTGAGACAGTAAGCCCAGGAGCTCGCCCGAAGACAAGCCAGACTCGCACTCAACAATCAATTATATCATCATTTGCTGCCGGTACTTGCTATGAGAAGACGAGCAAAAAATGGATAGACATCACAGCTGCGATTACAAATCACATAGCGAAGGACATGGTACCGATTCAAACTGTGGAGAAAGAGGGGTTCAGAAAGTTGATTCAAACTCTGGACCCAAGATATGAGATCCCGAGCCGCAAATATTTTAGCCAAAAATGCCTGCCACAGCTTTACACAGAATGCTGGGACAGAGTTTACAGTGAGATAAATAACATTCCATTCTTCTCCACTACTGCCGATCTATGGTCAAGTCGTACCACAGAACCTTATATAAGCCTCACAATCCATTACATAGACGGTGACTGGAAACTGAAAAGTAAGTGCCTACAGACGTCTTATTTCCCAGACGACCACACCGGGGAAATAATTGCAGGTGGGCTGAGGGACATACTGTCGTCCTGGGGATTAAAAGAGTCGCGTCAAGTTTGTATGACGACCGACAGCGGATCGAACATGATCAAGGCATTGCAGCTGAACAAGTGGGCAAACCTTGGATGTTTCGGACACAGGCTGCACAATGCTATTGGTAAGTTTCAGGACTGTAGCCTAGGCCTACCCTGTATGATGCTTATTATTAAGAAAAAATACAGCTCACATCAGCCATGTACCGTAGGCTAAATCTAAGCACATCAGATTTGTAAAATGTGTAACAGTTGAATGTAAATGCCGTAAATCCTCAAACAAAGATTAAAAGTTATATTGTATTGTGATTTCTATATAAAAATGCATTATTATTAATTATTATTGTATTGTGATTTGATTATTTTTCACCCTATTATTTTGATTTCTTATTCCCAATTTCCAGAGAGGAGTGTCCAAAACGCTCCCGGGCCACAGGGGTGTGCGATTTCCCGGGCCACAGGGGTTTGCAAAAAGGTGGTTAGCACGTTCTCATACAGCTGGAAAAAGCAGAAGGCCCTGATGACAGCACAGAATGAACTAAGCCTGCCCCTGCACAAGCTCATCACAGAATCTCCGACAAGGTGGGGATCTCGTCTGAAAATGATGGAAAGAGTCCTGGAGCAGGAAAAGGCCATTACACAGGTCCTGGCAGGGGACAAAAAGACACAGCACCTTGTACCTACCTGGCAAGACATCCAGGTCTTGGAATCAGTCACAGCAGCACTGAAGCCACTCCAGGACTTTACAGATGCCCTGTCAGGAGAAGCGTATGTGAGCGTGTCCTATTTGAAGCCTGTCATCAATCTGTTAAATGCAGAGGTTCTAAATCTGAGCAAGGACGATACAGAACTGACCAAAGAGATCAAGATCAAGGTTCTTGATTACTTGAATAACAAGTACACTGACCCTGCAACAGATGAGCTGCTCTCCATGGCTACCTTTCTAGATCCAAGGTTCAAGACCAGGTACATGTCCGCTGAGAAACTGGAGGACATTAAGGTATTTATTCATTTGTTCTTGTTTTATTGCTTCAAATGTAAAGCACTTTGGGCTGCATTTTATGTATGAAAGGTGCTATACAAATAAAGTTTAATTATTTTCATTTTTTAAGGTGAGAGCTGCCTCAGAGACCGAAGCCCTCCTGGTGGAGAACACAGCCCTGGGAAAATCGTCTCTTGCAGAGGATCACACTGACAGGGAGAAAGAAGCTTCCACTGCTCATCAATCAGGCAAGAAGCCCAAGAAGAGCCTTGGGAGCTTCTTTAAGCAGACCAGCAGTGCACCTGCCTCATGTTCAGAGAGGCAGATCATTGAGCAAGAGCTGAATAGCTACATTCTGGCAACGGCAGCAGACAGCGAGTCTGATCCTTTGGAGTGGTGGCGATTTCACGGATCTAATTTTCCACGTGTGAGTTGTCTGGCAAAGAAATACTTATGCATCCCTGCCACAAGTGCCCCCTCTGAGAGGGCATTCAGCACTGGGGGCAATGTGGTGACATGTCACAGGGCAGCACTAAAGCCAGAAACAGTCAACATGCTGGTATTCCTGGCACGGAACTTGTGAAGAAAGTTCTAGTGAAGATTTGTTGATATTGTTGATAATTGATGGTTGAGGCTTGAAAGGTTTAGTTTCAAACGGTTAGTTTTTTACATATCTACGGACCGTAGCCAAAACAAACACACGTATTTGAATTTGTAATTACCTTATTTTCTTTATCTCCTGTTATTTTTTATTTAATTTTACTTAATATCTAATTTATATATATATATATATATATATAGGCCTACCTACCTCATGTTTACGGAATGCATGTTTGCACAATACAAATAAAAACTTTTCAGGTCCATACGGTCCAATGCCTCACTCTTTCTGGTTATATAAGGTTCAAATACATATTTTTCCTTAACTAATATAATTTAACCAAGAAGGGATATTAAAATGTGATTCATATTTTTTTACGTCATATATCGTGATATCATATCGATATCGTCTGGACAGTGGAAAATATCGTGATATGAATTTTAGCTCATATCGCCCACCCCTACCCTCAGGATGGAAGTGCGCAGAGTACGAGAGGAACTGTCCACCACAGTCAATATAAGCCATCTCCAGGAACCTGCAGAAGGCGCTACAAGATCTAAGACAGGAATTGGTCAGCCAAGGGGCCCACTCCTTAAATTCCAGTAAAAACCTAGGACCCAGTAAACTGTTGAACAAGGACCCATCAACCAACCAAAACATCAAACCAATCCACCAACCCAGCTGACCCCCTCCACCCCAGTCTCACGGCCTGTGATTGCTCCCACTCTTGCCATCCTCCACAGGCTTGAGAAGAAGCCTGACATTGTTTTGATGATGGACTCCAATGGAAAATTCATTAAATTGACCGTGGCCCAGCTTCGTTCACCGAGCCTTATCATTGTACATACTGGAACCAATGACCTGCACGCTCAACAGGAGAGGGTGGCCACATCACTTGGTAGGGTGTTGGAGAGGGCCTCTACCACCTTCCCAGATGTGAGGATTGTAATATCCACCCTGCTCCGGAGGAGAGATTTTCACCCTGCCACCATCGAGAGAATAAATGCCAGCTTCTCCCGGAACTGTGCTAAATGGCCAAATGTAAAATTGGCACACCTTCCCAACCTTAGTTTGGACTGTCTGTATGATAATGTTAACTTCTTCAAAGAGGCTGTCCTCACCTTCGCCAGGATGTTGCTTTGGGTGGCCAGTCCACCTCACCCCACAGGAGCAGCAGACCAGCCACCAACTCCCTGAGACAAATCAGATGCATGTTTAGACCTGCATCCGGTGGCACCTCACAGAGACTGGAGAACAGCCAGCAACACTGCCCCCCACATCACCCTCCACCACTTGTCTCCCAGGAACTGCATGCAGATACACTGAGCTATGCCCAAGCCGTACGCAGTGACAGAGGCCCAACACAGAGTTTGGAGCATCGCCGGCCACACTGCCCTCCGCACCACCCTCCTCAATTCCCCCCCACAACCTCCTCCCAGGCTAGCTCTAACCCTGGCAATTAACTGGTAAACTCATGGTTACACTTGCAATGGCTGCCTGGTATTGTGATGCAATAATTTATATGGTATTTAGAAATGTTCTATTAACTGATGCTGGATTGCCACAGTAATGTGGGATGTTCATTCACATAATGCTAACTGATGTGGCTCATGCAATGTAAAGTATTTTTTGTAATATCAGTATGTCCATTTCATGTAACATCCATAATGCTTCTTATTGGCTTTATTTCTCCAACAAGTCAATATTTACAAGGGTTACTATAGGCAGACAAAAGTTTCATTTATATTTTGTTTGTTCATTCCGTGAGACATTTAAGTTGTGCTTTTGCGTGAAAATGTAACATCCATAACGCTGGAATCTCTCACACACACACACACACACACAGAGAGAGAGAGAGAGAGAGAGAGAGCGAAGCTTTCATGCCCCAGCACTCACCAGGACTCCGGCAACGATGGATGCAAGGGTATTTCTCCTCTCCCCCCAGTCGATGCACTCACACTCCGGCATGCGGAAGTTGTCCAGGAACCCAGCCATCTTCAGCCCTTCTGACCCCTGTGGTCAAACCTTACTGTTGTCTCAGTCAATCTCTAATGTTCCTCAGACAGGTAGGTATGTAGGTAGGTAGCCCTCAGACTGTTGACACTGACACAGATGAACGTTAGGCAGTAATCTGCTGTGCTGGTTCTGTGCACTTGACCCTCTGGGATTGGTTTGTCAATCAATCGAGTTTGTTTCCTACAAAAACAAGGAGGTAGGGTTATTGATTCTGTATCAAACTTCAATATTCACCTCAAGCCCCTAACGTTACACTTGATCGAGGTAGGTCTAGAAACATTCTTGGCCAGCAGCAATATGGTAATCACCTTGCACTCTAGGTGGAACTTCCCACACAATGTTTACCTATCCAATCCGTTTTATCCATTGAGGTACATAGCTAGCCATTTAGCAAATAATATTGGCTGTGGGAAGAGCATAGGCAATAAGTTCCTACAGTTGACTAGTTAGCTAGCTAGCTAGCTAATCTAGCTACCGTTATTCAGCTAGCTAGTTAAACCTACAAATTTCAAGATAGCCATGAGTAGCACGTAAATCCTACATTGCGAACTCTAAACAGCAAACTAGTGAAATATTGTATTATTTTAATGAATAGGACAAATAAAAGCTAACATAAGGTTTGTTTCATCTATCTAGCTAACTTACGCTGTCAGATAGTTATTATTAGCTAGCACTGATGCAGTGCCCTGCTATAGTCCACCTATCCAACAGACAGGCGCTTTCTGGCAAAAAGTGCGCATACATGTCTTGAATGTAACCAAATTACTCGTAGAAAATATAATTTTGCTCACCTCAATGGCAATGTTTTCAGTTTAATTTAACTAGCAATGTCACAACGACGAGGATGAAGCTACCTTGTATCAAGGAAGCGTGCTAACCAATCAAAGTAAGGCAATCACAGCAAAGTGACCAATCAACTTTCGCTTATAAAAAATGAACGTACGGTGTCTTGTGACATACTCTTTTCACGCCACTTCGATACAAAGTGATTTTTGTAGCAGGTTAGGAGAGCATTTTCGCTAACCCTAACCATAACTATTTTCCTAATCTTAATCTCAGTATCCTAACCTAGTTAGTTCTCAGTGGTTCTCAACCTTTTTCGGTTACTGTACCACCAACTGAATTTTACTCTGCCCGTAGTACCCCTGAAGTACCCCCTTGTGCATTTTACCAGTAATCCTATGATCTCATGAGTCTTATCAAGTACCCCCTGTGGATAGGCCAAGTACCCCCGGGGGTCCTTGTACCAATGTTTGGGAACCACTGTCCTAACCAGCTACGAAAAAGCTACATGTATTACAAATAAATGAAAATCATCCATTACATATATTGCGCATGTATTAAATAGTAAACAAATGAAAATAATTTGTAAATGTCAAGTATGCTGTCCTAGTGGCACACATCAATAGCACTCATCAGAACAGATACAAAATGCTTCAGAGGCAATCACAACAGGTGAAATATTATGATTAACCTGGACTTTGACTGTCCTTCCCTCTCTTCCTCTATTAGTCCCTTCCTCATCCAAGAAAGAGCTGGCTGACTTTTCCACTACCAGGAAGTATCAAGTTACATGAAGGTTTCAAGTTATGCCTTTGCAGTACACACCACATTCCTCCCAATGAGTCATGACATTAGGGGGTTGGTCTGGTTTGTTTTGAGGGAGAGAAGCCACAGCAGTTGACAGTGCTGGAGAGAGAAACCAAAAGGAGACTGCTTTTTGTATTGCATCAGACACTTAGCTAACTACGTTGTGTATCTGGGACATCTCTGTGTGAAATGGTGTGACTGATCGTCAATGGTAAGTCTCTTTTTGAATATCTGCTACTAAATTCATATTGTACCAGAGCCTTATATTTACTCAATATAAGGCTCTGAGATAGCTAGACTATGTCAGTAGGAGCAACATGAAAATACATAATGACTAAATAAGTTCTCCTTGAGGCTTGGCAGTGTTTTCCTGCCTTGGTTTTTAGAGTCAGCAGTACAGCATTGCCTTCCCTGTCTCATACACATTCCCTCTGCAACTACCCACTTGTATAAACACTTCAAAACAAGTGTACAGTAAATAGGTCTTATGACTTGCTGAGTTAATTGCAACTTGGGTGGAGTGGAGTTGTCGTAAAGGCCATGAGGCTTATGTGAAAAGAACAGAAGAGACAGGAAGAGGATTCAGATTGAGACAAAGAGAGTTTGGGACACTATTAGAGTTTGGGACACACTCTTTTCACGCCACTTCGATACAGCTAACCCTAACCCTTTTCCTAACCTAATTATCCTTACCTGCTACGTTAATTCTCCTAACCTGCTACGAAAAAGTCACTTCTGGTCGTAGCTGTATCGAAGAGGCATGAAAATAGTGTTTCTCATTACAGTTTGCAACTGAAGCATGAGTCAGCATATTTCTAACATAAATAATACTGAAGGCCATATGCCTTCAGTATTCCCTATTCAAACCTGTATATGTTGTTGTTCTGAGGTACGTTTAAACCCATGAAATATGTCAGAGTTCAGGTAGTCCTCCGCCCTTCAGCAAACAAAGGAAAGTAGGAGGGGTGCTCACTGCTCAACAACACTGACAGGAATCCAATAATTGGGCTTATACCCAGGAAAACCGTATAGTTCTATGGTACTATGGTAAATGGTGTTGGAGCACTCTATGAAATATGTGGATACACTTTATTTGAATTCTCTGTCAGGGTTACATAACATGATCATAACACTGACATAGCAGCTGGAACATCTAAAGTCAGTTGACAGAAGCACCACGATTGTTAACCAGTGTATGTAGGCCCACACATTACCTGTTGAATTCCACTTCACAAATACAGTGAGGGAAAAAAGTATTTGATCCCCTGCTGATTTTGTACGTTTTCCCACTGACAAAGACATGATCAGTATATAATTGTAATGGTAGGTTTATTTGAACAGTGAAAGACAGAATAACAACAAAAAAATTCAGAAAAACGCATGTCAAAAATGTTATAAATTGATTTGCATTTTAATGAGGGAAATAAGTATTTGTCCCCTCCGCAAAACATGACTTAGTACTTGGTGGCAAAACCCTTGTTGGCAATCACAGAGGTCAGACGTTTCTTGTAGTTGGCCACCAGGTTTGCACACATTTCAGGAGGGATTTTGTCCCACTCCTCTTTGCATATCTTCTCCAAGTCATTAAGGTTTCGAGGCTGACGTTTGGCAACTCAAACCTTCAGCTCCCTCCACAGATTTTCTATGGGATTAAGGTCTGGATATCCTCCCGTGTAGTTCTGGGCTGATTCCTCACCGTTCTCATGATCATTGCAACTCCACGAGGTGAGATCTTGCATGGAGCCCCAGGCCGAGGGAGATTGACAGTTATTTTGTGTTTCTTCCATTTGTGAATAATCGCACCAACTGTTGTCACCTTCTCACCAAGCTGCCTGGCGATGGTCTTGTAGCCCATTCCAGCCTTGTGTAGTTCTACAAACTTGTCCCAGACATCCTTGGAGAGCTCTTTGGTCTTGGCCAGAGTTTGGAATCTGATTGATTGCTTCTGTGGACAGGTGTCTTTTATACAGGTAACAAGCTGAGATTAGGAGCACTCCCTTTAAGAGTGTGCTCCTAATCTCAGCTCGTTACCTGTATAAAAGACACCTGGGAGTCAGAAATCTTTCTGATTGAGAGGGGGTCAAATACTTATTTCCCTCATTAAAATGCAAATCAATTTATAACATTTTTGACATGCTTCTCAAGGAGAGAAGACAACAGGGATAGATTTCTATTTTACACTCTAAAAAATGCTGGGTTAAAAACAACCCAATTTGGGTTATTTTGTAACCCAGCGCTGGGTAAATATTGGACAGATCACACACTGGGTTATTTTGACCCAGCCATTTGGGTTGCGTGAATAACCCAACATGTTGGGTTGTTGGCATTACCCCAGAAATATGTTAATTTATCCATCAGTTGGGTATTTTTTACTTTCATGCTGGGTTGACTTAGCAGCGGTGTCTTTTTTAATGTAATCCTTAGGTTATTTTCAGGAGGCGTGGCTTATTAGTGGCGTGGCTTTCATATAGATCTTATTGGCCACCTGTGAGAGTAAATTTAATTCCTGTTCATCATGTTAAGTTTACATACTGTAAATAAAAAATGTCCTTATTTTCTTTTGCATTTTACACATTCTTCTAGAATTTTAAGACTATTTATTACATATTATAATAAGGTGGTATCTATCCCAACAATGGGATATGCATAGGCTTTTAGGGAACTCAAACACTTCTGTAAGCCTCAACCTTAACATGTGATAAATATACAACAGAACAGATGAACATGAATGACATTTACTCTCACGAAAGGCTAAAAAGAACTATCTGAAAGCCACGCCCCTACTAAACTACACCTCTAGTCTTCTGATCTGAACTGCTGGGTCATATCTCAATAACACCCAGCACCAATAACCCAACCTTGCTATTTTTTAAGAAAACAACCCAACCAAGTGAACGAATGCCTGCAACCCAGCAGTTGGGTCAACCAAACAACCCAGCATTTTTTTGAGTGTAGGATGAGGTTCTGGCTCTGGCTCAGAAATGCTGTCATGAACAACCAAGGCACTTTCATTGAGCCTTATTATTGAATTATTCAATAAAATGTGTCAGTTATTCAGAGTGAGCATCAATGATGATAGCTAGATCAATTCCATCTAAACAACAGTGGACAGCTGGGTTTTATCCTTTAGGGATATAATGTTTCGTAACATCTCCAATTCATATAATCCTGAATAGGTTCTATCTCGTTCATCTCCTCAGGGACTTTTCACCCAAGGATTCTGGTCAGGACTAGCTATTCAACAAGTAGGCTACATCTGGCTTCCTGAGTCATTGAGTCCTTGAGTGTGTATATCACACATAACTCTCTGGTTATTAACACTAACACTAGGGATTATTTTACCTCACTGTGCCTCTAGGGCTGCTGTAGCATGAAATACCGCAGCCTGA